AGGTCCTGGTGCTAAGTGATTCTTAGGAGGTGCTGCATCAACTCATTATCCCAAACTGTGCTCAGAAAGAGAACATAAGGGCAGAAGTTGTCTAAACTCACTACTAAGGGTTGCTGGTACAGTGGCACTTGTTGCTTATTTAGCTTCTGCCTAAAAATCAGAAGTTGATCAAGCTGTTGACAGCAACAACTGACTTATTAATGTGTTACCTCCCTAGTGACAAGTTACCACTGAGCTGGATGTTTGTTACACGGGCACAAGTGGTGAAGGCTCTGAAACAGATGACTTTTTTCTCTCTCTCCAGATTCCTGAGTCCCCTGAACATGCTGATTGGTGGTGCTGTGGTGGTGCTGATGTTCATGGGGTTTGTGTGGGTGTCCCACAACAAGGATATACTCCGCAGGCTGAAGAAGCAGTACCCAACCACGTTTGTGGTGGTCATCATGCTGTCTAGCTACTTCTTGATCTCCTATCTGGGAGATGTCATGGTGTTCATGTTTGGGATCACGCTGCCTCTCCTCTGTAAGTATATTTTCTCTTTTCTGGGGGGCTGGAGGTGTGTGGCTTGAGCTTCCTTAAATAAGTCTGCAGAGTCTAACTTGGCTGTTGCCTTTACTATCTCTGTTTAAATGACCTCAAAACAAAATTTCAGGGAAGGGGACAGCAAACAGCACAAGCCAGCTTTAACATTATTACTAAATGGATACCTGCAGTTATTTAAGCAGTCATTGAGACTTCATCTTCTTCCAGTGATGTCATGGCACTGGAGTGCATCTTAAGATGAGTGCTGCAAGAAGCATGCATTCCTTGGGCATTAACAGTTGACGTGTGTTTCTGTCACACAGTGATGTTTGTCCATGCTTCTCTGAGGCTCCGGAACATGAAGAACAAGCTGGAGAACAAGATGGAAGGAATAGGCTTGAAGAAGACCCCAATGGGCATCATACTGGATGCTTTAGAGCAGCAAGAGGATAGCATCAACAAACTGGCTGACTACATAGCCAAAGTGAAGGAGTAGGCAGCTGCAATGGGGTGTTTTTACCTGTTGCAGGAGTGTAGTTGCTATTTACTGTTGTTGAAGCTTGCTTTCAGTTTGTGTACAAAACAGGAAATGCACGTTGTACAGATTAGTAGTTGCAGGCTACAGGTATTCCAGGGTCTTCAGAGCTCCTCTAAGAACATAAGAGCAGCAACTTTTTTCTATTGTATAGCAAAATGTTCTGGTGTTTACAGAAATATATACTAACTTACCCGTGTTTGCTTGTTTCTTCTGGGGCGCAGAGGAGGAAGAGGTGGAAGCCTGTGGAATGCAGCCTCTCAAACTGTCTTGTAGTAAATTTGTTCATTAAAAGTAACACCCCTTTCGTCTCAGTTCTACAAGATGGCAGTTCAGCCAGTTTATGCTGGGTAGCACCTTCAGGCTGGCAGTGTTCAAGGTGAGCTGGAATGTTTCAAAAGTAGTCCTCCCAATCCCCCACTGGAATGGTCTGTGTTGAGGCCACATTGGTACCTTAACTGGCAAGCAGTAAAACCATGCAATGCTGGTAATAAATTTGGGTTCCTGTCCTCACATTCCTCCTTTAGCAGCTTGGAAACAGTCTAAATAGATCTAAGCATGAAGAATAGACATGGCACTGTGCCTCTGTCACTTACACTAGAAGGCATCTTTGGTCTCTTTAGAATCTTGATCTGTAGAAACTGCTCCTCTCTGCAAGAGAGACAAATTTCCCTGCATACCAGCTAAACTAAGGTCAAGCATGAGAGGAAAAAACAACTTTTCAGCTCCATTGGATGAGCTAGGGTTCTACCCTGTTGGTGTTTTTGATACTGCTACTTCAGGACTTACCTTGTTCTGTTTCAGTCTGTCAGGCTGTTCTGTAGGTGGAGGTACACGTGTGTTCTCCAGCGTGGCTCATCCTTTCTTTCTTCTTAACCAGAATGCAAATATTAAGTAAAACACATCTCACTGATTCTCTACTTCTGACACTCTTCAAAGGAATAAACTGGATTTCAGGTTTACAAGTAAAAGCAATAAATGTCAAGATAGAGTTTTTGAAAACCCATTCCAAAATCATGAAGATACTTGCCTGTAACGACTCCTGGAAGTGCTGTGGGGGATTCTTTTTATATGTATTTTAACTTAACTGCCAGCTCTGATGGAATTATCTTGATAAACAGGAGCTCAGCAACAACAGGGAGGGGGAAGAAGTTGTCCAGGTGACACTCCATTTCAAATATTCTTGCATTTCTCTTTTCTAAGAAAGTAATTAATTTAACACAAAAAAAAAAAAAAAAAAAACCAAGGATCCTTGAAGTTGGAGCTTCTGTGTAAATTACCATGCTGTTTTCATAGTGATCTGTGTAGGAATCTGAACATGTCATTCCATTAAGTGTTACAGTGATCAGTATTTATTGAAAATGTCTGTATATTCCAGCTGAAGAGCCAATGGCCTGTTCCTCACTTCTAGCGCATGGTCTTTGTTTTTTGAAAACTATTTCCACACTTCAAAAAAACATAGTAGCCTAGGACTTCATCATTACTGTAGAATTTTAAAAACTGCACAGTTCTGAAGAAAAATAAATTCTAATGGTGATTACTGAGTGTGTTTCTTTCTGGCTGGGGACAGTGGTTGGAAAGCTGAGCCTGCCTCTGTTACTGCTTTGAGTGGTGGTGGGAGATCTGCTGCCACCCTGCAGCTCATGCTGCAAGCCCATGCTTGTGAGCAAGCTGCTGGCTTTGAAAGCTCTGTGTCTGTATTAACCTTGGTGAGGTCTGAGGGAGCTCTGAGCTGCAGGAGTGTTACAGCCTTGCTTGTGCATCCTTACAAAGGCTCCTCTCCAGAGCTGCACTTCTTAAGGAATTTGTTCATGGTGCTCCAGTCTCCTATATAACTCTACCTTATTTAACTGGGATTCTACATTTCTTTTAATTACCTGAGAGGGATTTCTTCTTCTAGGATTACTGGGAGCTGTGCCTGGAGCAGTACTAGGAAGCCAGCTCTCCTGCGGTCACAGTGATGATGAAATGTCTGTATCTGGCTGCCTCCCTCCTGTGGCTGCTGGAGAGGTTGCTCAGTGGGAGGACACAGCTCAGAGCAGGGCTTTGCAGGTCCTGCTGCACATACCCTGGTAATATGTGTCGGCTGCTTCTTGGTGTGACAGTAATTTGCACCTGACAGCTTGATCTGTAGATTGTATACCTCTATAATTTCTTTTCCTCTCTTTAACTGTCATAACTGCTGAAGTCTGAGCTGTGCTAGCCTGGCCTTGAAGCCAGTATGGAGAGCACTGTGCTCCCCGAGCTGCCTGGGAGAGCTGCTTTTTGCACTTGCTGCCATGCTCCATGTGTGAGGGCTTGGTAAAAGCACCAAGTTCCTTCACATTCCTACTTTTATCTGTCACAGAAGGAGAGAGCTGTAGGAAATGTGCGATGAGAACGTTACATCCATTTTATGTCTGCCATGCAGAAACAACTCATCCCTCCCCATTATGTGATACTTAAACAACTTGCTATATCTTAGGCAATACATAAACCAGGTTTCCCAAATCTGCAGCATTAGAGTTGCAGACAGAAGCAGAGCTGAGAAGGAGTTTTATAAGCTTGGAAGGTGGAGATTTGAAAGAGGCCAAGTAAGAGATACAGAAAGGACAAGGTTAAATGAAAACTTGAATTAATGATAGTGGAGATTGCCTTGGGTTTAAAGAGGCCCTGGACCTTGCTGATGCTACAGGATTATGACAGTGAATGTGGGAAGGGGGAGCAGGGTGGGACTGGGATTGAGCTGCCAGGGAAAGGTTGCTAAGAGATAGAGGCAGGAGCAAGGAGCAACTCACCTGAAGGAACACTGCCAGGAGCTGCAAAGCTGAACCTTTTCAGCAGGTGTATCAGCCACAGGAAGGCAGGGGAGCTGCATGCTAGCAAAGGGAAGGCTTTGTGCCTTCCACATCCCTTACAGGTTTAAAAAAACCAGAAACAATTGGTCTCCTGTGGCTGTGCTCCACAAAAGTATGACTTACCTGTAGCTGTCCTACATAAAAGGCTTGCAGCAAAGAAGAATTAATGTGATTAAAAAAAGGGAAGAGAAAAAAAAGTCATAAAGATATTAAGGAAATGTGCCAGGGCTGAGAGATGCTACTCACACCCCAGACGAGGGGGAATGATGAGTTTCTTAAGCCCCTGGCAAAGAGAGGGGCAAGGCTCATCCTCCTGCCACAGAATAGTAGAGTGGAGAGAGACTTGAAATGGCATTTCAGCGTGCTCCAAGGTGCCTGTGGTTATGGAAAACATCATGGACAGAGGCAAATTGTCAGGAATTAAGAGTACAGCTCTCAAAGCAGAGCATGGCATCATCTTTTATGTGCTGATCAGGTACAGTACCAACTAGGCTATGTTCTGAAATCGAGGTAGCTTGAAACCATCAGGCCGAGGTGTTTGATGTACCACAGCAGTCATTCTGTTCTGTGAGCATCTTACTAGCCATGGAAGTGCTGCACACATCTTACAGAGAGAGCTTTATTTCATTTCTGTTTCCTTAGCCTAAAAAATGAAGCTGTATACATGGAAACCAAACACATTTCTCACGGACAAGAGAATAATAAAGGAGCATGTGTGTGAAAAGAAAGATAAGATAAAGCACAGCATGTTCCTGCAGAATCTGGCAGCAGAATGACAACGTGGAAGCAAAATAGTTTGCTGACAAACTAGAAAGACAAGGTTATTGATGCCTCTGAGAAAATTCTCCCAGAACAAACTGGAGCCTGAAATCCACTTGGCAGACAGATGGCACCGGGGTTGTTTGATACCCCATGGAAACGCTTGGCGCTGACTTTTCCCATGCCAGCCATTTTCACCACACTTACAGAAGTGTGCACCTCAAGCTTTGTTCCCAAAGAGTCCTGTATACCACCTGGGGTCTGCAGAAAACATCTGCTGAAACAGTTGTGAGTGAAACTGGAACAGTCTTTATTCGGAGTTGTTTTCTCCAGGTCAGTCTGGTCTCTCACTCCAGCTGCTTTGGCAACGGCACCTGCAAAAGGACAGTAAGTATGAGAAAAAGGAAATTTCTCAGTCATTTCCCAAGCCAGTTTTGTTTAACACAAACCTTCAGAAACTGTAAAAAGATCAAAACTACAACAGCTGACAGCTCCAAAGAGCCCTGGTTGGGAACCTCTTTTGTTTGTAATTCCCCACTTGCTGTTGGCAAAGCTCAACGCCCAGGAAATCGATGGATCCCCCCATGGAGAGGACAGACACCCAGCTTGGCTCAAGCAGCAAAACACCATTTCAGAGATGAAACAGAGGATCTCCAGGCAAATAGAGTCACCAAGATCACACAGGTAGGTGAGAATAACACCCCAATGCCCCAAATCCAAGCCCTTTGGTTCAATGACAGGACCAAAAAAACCCAAAACCCCAATACACAGGCCCATTGCTTTACCTTTCCTTGGGCTGTGACAACAATTTTTATCCAGGCCATTTAGGATAGACAGTGAATTGATCCCCCCCAACCCAAATGTTGCAACCCTCATTTATAAAAAGATCCCAAGGATTTGGGGGGAAATATCTGGGCTTCATTATTGCTCTCTAGCACCCAGGTTTCTTAATCTTGTTGTGCATAAAGGGCTGTGGCTAGCGGAGCACTGGTGCCATCCTCCTCCTCCTCCATCTCCCTGAGAGGAAGGGAGGTCCCAGGGCAGTGACAGACCACCCTGCTGTCACAAGCACCATCTTGGCCTGTTCAGAGAAACCGTGACCTTTGTGGAGCAGGTCTTGTCATCTTAGACACGGCACCAAAATGCAAAACATGGGCTGCGAGCTGGAAAGGCCAGAAATGCCCTGAGGAGAGGCCCTGCCTGCAGCCAAGTCGGATTAGGCTGGCTGGCAAGAAACCACAGCCCCAAAACTTCATGTTGGGTCAGAAATGTCACATTAAACCCGGATCTGTGTCAGAGGTCACTGCAGGACCTGCCCCTGCCAAAATTTCAGGACAAACTACTCTTTCTGAAATTACTGAGAGAATAATTATTTCTGTGTATGTATAAATGAAAGCAAAATGTGGCCCGCTATATTAAAATGTCAATATAAAACAAAATATGGATTACAAAATACTACTTGACCATTTTTAATTGCGAAGGATTTTCTGTCCCCTTCCTCAAGCCTTAGCAACACAAACAGATGCATCAACATCACTAACTACAAATAGATCAGGCAGATTTTTAGTATTTCTTGAACACAATGCAAAGAAATACAACAGTAGTTGTTAAATCTTGTGGCCAGCATTTTGAGAAGTGGCCTGTGAGTTTGGTACCCAAGTAAGAGCATCACCAAGAGGCTTTTAGCACGGTTTGAGACTTACCCTTCACACTAAACCTTTTAATTTCATTTCAACCAGACCAGCCACAGCCAGTCCTGGACCACGACTGTACCACAGACCCTCCTCACTCGCCACACCCTGGCCTGGAGGGTTTGTGGCACTGCTGAAGGAGGTGATCCTCACTCAGCCCCGGGGGCCTGGGCATCCACGGCAGGGACAGGGGAGTGTGGCCAGTGTGTTACTGGAAACTCAGCTCCTTAAACGACCTTGGGTGAATTCTTTTGCTGCCAGAGTTTCAGTTTACCCTTTATCAAATGGGCCAAGCAAGGGTGAAGAAAACCACGGCTACTGAGGAGAGAAACCTGTTTTGTTCTGGGGGGCTGGACTCAGGCTAATGTGACAAATAATACCTACTGCTCCCCTAAAACAAATGTCTCATAACAGCAGTTGCCTATTGGAGCCAAGCCACCATCCCTAGTCTGGTATGTTGAGTCTCTGTGGGTTTCTTTAGCTCCTGAGTGAATTCCCTCTCCCCCACCTACCCGGACGCAGGCGGAGCTGTGCTCACTTGTGTCTCTGTGCAAGCCCAAATTCAGCGCTGCCAGGGGCAACAACCACCCGGCTGGTGGCTCCAGGACTGGCAGCGTGAGGCCAGATGCCACCGACAGGAGCCCCAGGGCCCGGGCTGCAGAGGGCAGCTGTGGAGCACACGGGTGCCCGCGGCGGCCCCGGCGCCGGGCACTCACCGGCTTGAGGTAGGCCACGTTGCTCTGACGGATGTCGTTCAGCAGCTGGTCCCTCGGGGTTATCTCCACGAGGGGAGGTGGTCTTCTCCTGGGAATTGGTTTCAGCGTTTTGATGACATCTTTGAGGTTGGTTTTCTCAGCGGGCTCCACGT